AATGCATAATTCAGTAATAACATTTCTAATCTCACAGACGACTGGGAAATATTTATCCAAAGAGTCTAAATATTAAGGCCATCTCTCACCACCAGCACATATTGCCCCCAAAATACCTAATCACACAGGGATCAAACAAAAATAAAGAGGAATTAAGTTTCAGCAGGAACAATTATCATTTTTAAAAGGTATTTTTGAAGATTCTAAATTGAAAAAAAGAAAGTTAATTTTAGCTGGCTATAGAGGGGGACAGGGACCCTCTAACATATAGAGCTCCCAAAATGGAATGAGCCAGCTTGAAAGGTGGCAGGTTCTCTCCCTCCCCCCACTATAATTCTTTAACCAAAAGCTGGAAGACCTGTCTTATTTTCTTCAGGTCTGGGTTACACTATATGGCCTGTGAGGTCTCATGCAATTCTGAGATTCTGTAATTTTTTGTGCGTCTTATCTGCTCCTGTCCCCTTGCCACTTGTGAAAACACAAATGAACTGCATTAAAGTCTCTACCATTACTAAATATATTGAAATATAAGAATACTTTAAACAGCTTATAATCCTCACTGTGTGGAGTCCAGGCTAACCAAGGCAAAAGGCAGCAGCTTATTAGTTGCATATTCCTAGACAGCCCTTTGAGGGGCAGTATACATGTTTACTGGTCTATTTCACTGACTTCCCATGGGAGAGTCCTTTCTGTATATTAATTTAGATCTCCTAATTATCATGTAGAATTTTTGCTATAAATTTCCCCACTCATACACACACTGAAACCCTTAAAATCTGTCACTATGAAAAAAACAACAACGAAAGGGAATTCATATAGCTGGAGAGCTATATTTGAGAGCCTATTTGAGACAAGTAAATAACTAACATTTCCCTAAAGTAAGGGAGGGAAGGATTAAAAGATGGAAAGTACCATTACGACTGGCCTTCATTATTTGCATTTTAAAATTGCAGTGTTAAAATAGCAGGCATTTGAATAACATTACCTTCATGGAGCTTCCTTTGTTCAGATTTAATTAGTGAGTCATTCTGAAATGGAGAAAGGTGATATGCAGTAAAGCAATGTTCTGCAAATAGGCTAACCATTTCTTGGGGAATAGAAAGAAGCTACAGGGGCTTTGTCCCCTGCTTCTGAGTCAGGACAAATCATATTGTCACAGTCCTGCTCACTTAGTCTTCCTAACTTTCCTTCTGTTTTCCTCTCCCCTTATGTCTTCTTGTTCCTTTCTTTCCCTGAAGCCCAAAGTGGTCAGGGGATGGTGAAGTGTGGTCAGAGGTGGGAGTGCAGTCTCAGGATCATTAACAGAAATGAGTGCTGCAGCTCAATTACTAGATGGATGCATGGATGGATGGATGATGGATAGATGATAGATAGATAGATAGATAGATAGATAGATAGATAGATAGATAGATAGATAGATAGAAGAGAGAGAGACAGAGAAAGATGTAGATCTTGGATAACCTTATTCTCTTGGAGCTGCAAAGGAGGGGAAAGAGAAGGGGAAAGGGAGGGGGAAAGTCCAAAACAACTTGACTGGAATCAATGAAAATCTTGAAATTCTACTGAAAAATGTGGAGTTTGTTGGTTGTTCTGGCTAGTTGCTATACTTATTCTGCCGATGTTATTGTGGGTCCAAACACACACCACACCTGGAAACCTCTGTTTTCAAAGAAGGAAAATGCTGCATACCATTTTCAGAATTCTGTGGGTCACTCAATAGAACCACAGATAGTTGCTAGTGTGAGGAAAAAAACACTTAATGGGACAGGATAGCAGCCAGAAGAAATACACAGATAGATGTGATAGGAAACAATGGTGGGAAAATGAAAGCAGAGTAATCAAGAAGCACGGTGTTACAGAGGACAAAAAGCTGGTGTTCTATCCAATTGAGTCAACCTAATGGATCAATCAGCCCAAAATTAGCAATCTTAACAATGATAGTAAAGGATCTTTCACAGCAGTGGACCACAGGCCAAACTTTATAGAGTTATCAGACAAAGAAATATCTATCAGATCTAAGCAGGCACAACCCAAAATATCAACAAAACACCAAGCAAGGCCACCAGCCAGGCAGTCTGAGGCTAATCTATAGTCCTTTCAGTGGCAAGGATAGCACTGTCAGAACTGTTTCTTCAAAGTGGGTCTTGTGTTTTCTAAGCTGTTTTTCTTTCCCTTTAAATTCTCCACCTAGCCCAGGATTTTCTAGGTATCCTAGAGGGTGACCTCATAGTACACCTCTGTGGACTCAAAGAGACAATCACCAGTTAGTGCTGTCTTAGATTACTCTAAGTTGAGAAATAGTGAGAAGGGAGAGTCACAGACTATATCCTCCAGTCATTCATACATTGAAAAACTATTTATTAAAAATGTGTTTTATGCTATTCCAGCTGCTGGGGATACAAACAAAAAAATAGCCTCTGGCCTTAAGGAAATTATAGTCTCCTCGAAGGAAACTATATGTACACTAACAAGTAAATTCAAAAACAAAAACAAAACAGATGCTATATGTATGTACACATGCATATATATACACAATATACACAAATGTATAAATGTATACAAAAATATATACATACATATATACATATGTGTGTATATTATGTTTATTTATAGATACAGATACATATGTGTGTGTATATATGTGTGAGTGTGTAAAAATACTATTCAAAAGTAATTTCAGAATTTAACACAGTGCCTGGCAAATAGCAAATACTTAATAAATATTGAATGGTTGATTAATTGAATTTCATGGGGGATGGCATTTACCACCAGGTAGACCAAAAAGACTTCATGAAGGAGATGGCACCTGAGTTATATCTTGAAAGAGTCTAAGGAGGAGAGATAAATAGGAAAAAAATCCAGGCATGGGGACAGTCTATGGGGGGGCAAAGGCTCAAAGACAGGGACAAGAAAAAAAAAACTACTGAGTATACATAACAAAGGATGCATGAGAAGAAAAATGTTCAATAAACTTGAAAGGTAGATTGGAATCAGATTGGGAAGGGCTTTAAATGCCAAACAAAAGAATTATGCCTCATTGCAGAAGAAATAAGGAATCACTGGCACTTCCAAAGCAAAGGAATGATGGGGTCAAACCTGTGCTTTAGAAATATCCATTTGGCATATGGGTTTGTCGTATGGGTTTGGAAGGGGAGAGTCATGTGACGAAGAGATGGATTATAGTAGAAAGAACATTGGTTTGGACACCAGAAGACCTTGATTTTAATTCGAGCTCTGATGTTTGCTAGCTATAGGACCCTGGGAAAAATCACTCTATCTCCCTGCACCAGGTTTGGGGCTCGCTAGCAAAGACTGTATCCTTAGAGAGGTCAACCAAATCAGACCCCTGGGGAAGAGAGAGGGGGGAAGTTGAAAGGTTACAGTCTAGCCTATTTGATCTAGGCTCTGAACTCTTCAGCTTCCTTCCCTACAGCTAAACGCTTCAGTCAGGCAGAAAAAGGCATGGAAAACTTGCCTAGGAAAGTAAGAATGGAAAGAAAGTCTAAATATTGCAAGTTGGTAAAAAAAAATATTATGAAACATTCAGTGGAAGCAGAGCATTGTACTGGTATCATGAAGAAATTTTAAAAAAAATACATGACATGACCCTTTTTGATCATATCAGGGAGCCTGAGTTCACCAAAAATAAGGATAAAATACCCAAATAAGTCATGTTTATGTGGTATTCTGTGAAGCCATAAATGTTATTTATATGTATGTTATTCTTCAGAATATATGCATATGTGACAACTGCTATATCATGTTTCCTTTCATATGTATACATATATATATATTTGTTTATATGTGTATGTGTGTGATTTTGTTGGTCTAGGAAACTCCTGGAAGGCTTTAAATACCTTTAGGGTCCTGATGACTTGGATTCAACTACAACTTTACCATGTACCACATGTATGGACCTGGGCAAGTCACTTAACTTCTCAGTGCTTCAAGTCTCTAGATCTATAAGTTGCAGAGCAGGTATTGATGCAGTGCTAGAGGGAGTTTCTTTGCCTGGAAATTCTGTACACCATTGAAATCATAGGTCTAGTAAAAAGTTATGACAAAAGCATAAATAGATGGTATAAATATATGCATGCATGCATGCATGTACACATGTACACATATAAATACATTCTTGATGTGGCTACCTATCACAGCATAAAATAAGCAACAAGTATAGGTTTATGTAGTATTGACAGAATGTAAGAGAATCACCCCAGTGAATATAGCTATTAGTTCTCAGAATGTTTCCAAACAGAATCATTCACCTACTTGCTGGTCATTTCTACCCCCTCCATCCACTCTATTCATTAGTATGATTTTGGTCTCTTTGCATAAATCATATTATATATATATACATATTTATCTCCATATTATACACATATAAGTATATAATACTGTGTGCCCCAGTACATATATCTCCCTATTACAAGCATGTTGACAATTCTCCAATATCCTCTACCACAGAGGTGGATTAGGAACTATTACAAAATATTCTTTTGCTGTTATAGATATGCAATTTTAACATGTTTCAGTGGTAAGTAATGATAATCTGAGTCAGTTGTCACCTTTCTGTGCAAATTAAGTAAAATAACTTGTCCTGAATTCTAGACTTGCATTGTTCCTTTTCATGGTGTGTAGAATATTCTATTTTCTATATGAATATGAAATATAGTTCCCATTTATCTTGTCTTAAACATTCACCATGGAGGGCAAGGACTTGGATAGGATGAATAAAAATATATCGCTGTGCTAATCTTCCTTGGAGCACCCAGGTGAGATGAATCTTACCAATTTTGGAAGGCAACATATGATAGTGGAGAGATTACAGGACTGGTAATCAGGTCATGTATTCTAGTATGGAGTCTAAAACTGACTCAGGCAGTCACTTCTCTCTGAGCCTCAGTTTTCTCATCTATAAAATAAGAAGGTTGGGCTAGATCATTGCTAAAGTCTCTTCCAGAACTAATAGTCTGTGATTTGTTTGTTTTCATTCCTAGCTCTAATGGTAAGTCGGTCACGTGGGCTCAGAATGAGAAGAGCAGCCGTGGGCAGCACCTCTGGCAGAGACTGTCAGTCCACATCAACAAAAAAGAGAACCCCAACCAAACAGCTGTCATTAAGCCCTTCTCCAAGAGCACAGACAGCAGATTTGGCAGTACCACATTCCCAGAGTCTAGCACCAAGATGCTGTATGATGTTTCAGAAGTAGAAGAACACTACCCCGCCCAGTATAGGCCACAGACTCCTTCTCCCGTCAGCACAGTGAGCCAGCCAGCAGGGTCTGTGAGCCGCACGGATGATGACATCCCATCCTTGCACTCAGAACACGCCCAGAGGAGCAGCTCCTCCCAGGGTTCCCTGATGGAGCAGATCAGCAGTGTAGTGACCCGCTTCACGGCCAACATCAGTGAATTGAACTCCATGATGTTGTCAACAGCGTCCCCAGGCACCATGGTGGCCGCCCCTCTTTGCTCTTCCTACCTGATCCCTAAAGAGATGCAGCTTCCTACAACCATGACCACTTTTGCTGAAATACAACCTCTCCCTTCCATTGAGGTAAATGGTGGTGCACAGCCAACCAGTAAAACCCCTCCAGGAGGAGGTGCTGGAAAAGAGAGTGCACCTGAGACATCAGCCGTAGTCAAGCAAGATCTGGAGGAGTTGGTGGCTTTAACTCCTCCTTCCCCTTTTAGAGACTCAGTGGATTCAGGGAGCACTTCTCCTAACTCACCAGTGTCTGAATCAGCCCTCTGTATCCCATCATCTCCAAAATATGACACACTTATCATAAGAGATTACACTCAGAGCTCTTCTTCTTTGTGAATGTAATTTGAGACCACACTGGATCCTGACAGTGATGATCAGGCAGAGACAAAAGCAAGCCTTCAAGATCTCTAGTGTTTGCACAGAGGCAGTGACAGGCATTGGTCACCTGATTAAGAACAGAGGTGTAAGGCAGACATTAAATCAGTAATGGAAACATCAGATTTTTGTGCTATTAAAAAAATCTAGTGGCAGATTTTCTTCCAGTGGCCTTAGAAAACATGGGCTTTTAAGAAACACTGCTTCTACTTTCGACGGCTGATAAAGAGTCTGTTATAACAGTTATATACCAAGTGCTTTGCTTTAGGGTAGCAATGAACTCTGTGTACAGTATGTGAAAAAAAAAGAATAGATTGTAAGCTACTATAAAAAAAAGTTTTGTTTGTTTACTTTGATTCTTATCCCAGAAGTGATCTTTTATCAAGAATAGAAGAACAAATATGAATGTACATTTTCTAACAGACTCAAAATCTGGGACCAAAATGTCAGGCTTTCTCTCTCTTTCTCTCTCTCTCTCTCTCTCTCTCTCTCTCTCTCTCTCTCTCTCTCTCTCTCTCTCTCTCCCTCTCCCTCTCCCTCTCCCTCTCCCTCTCCTCTTTCTCTCTCTTTTTTTCCCATGAAGATCTTGAAAAGCAGTAACTTCAGTTGAGTAAAATCCTCCGAAGTGTGTGTCCCAAGCATGATATACAACTGGAGAGTGAATACTCTGCAGTGAATGCTAACTATATGACTTAGGGCTCTACCAGACTTCTCTTCAACTTACCAATTTGGTTTTGAAATCCTCTTCCAGAAATCTCCATGGGAGGTTGACCTTAGTTACATTGGATTCACCTCCATTAGCCAACAAAACCAGTGGAAGATTTCCTGTCTATTCAGACTATTCACCATGTTGCCAATCAATACTGGAGTAGCAAAAAACAAACAAACAAAAAACATTTTCTGGAACACTGTTTTATAATTCCCTTCTTAGGGCACATTATGCAGCTGGGGACCCTCTTCCTAGCAGCAATCCTGAGCTCTATCCTTGCTGCCTCCCCAGTGGAATGTCACACATTTTTATGAATGCTGTTTCATTAGCATTGCCAGCTAAAATAGGCATTCAGGCTTCCTCATTCCCTGCTTGCAAGAACCTGATACACACTCGAAGAGTTTTTCAGCTCAAACTTTTGAAGTCAGACTACTGGGGATGGTGGCCCACAAACCCGATGAAGACGTTGCCACAATTGTAGGGATTGTCGCCGAAGGAGTTATCAAGATTATAAATAAACTGGAAATAAACAACTGTATTAAGGCCAGCTTAGTGGAGGGTGTATGACTCCAATAAGCAACGATTTTAACTTCTCTTGGCTGCTCAGACATTGCAGCTATGAACTGTGACAAAAGTAGATTTTCAAAGCAATACAGAGTAAACGTTAAAAAAAAAAAACAGAGAAACTGTAGAGAGTACAAACCAACATGGTCTTTCTTGGTTTCTTAGCCACTTGTAGAAGACAGAAGGGAATTACTCACATTTTTCTTTTTGAAATAATCATTAGAATGGGTTAATGCAGTTCTTACTTTTGAATACATGTGGGGAAAAGAGTGAAAGTTTGACTAGTAACAAATGAATTTTGATGGGCAGCAACCTCACTCAAGCCCTGAGTATAACATCCTTCCTCTCCTTTTTCTGTACAGCTATCCTCAGGTGCCAAACATTGTACTTTATATCAAGATAGCATTATCAGAAGGGGTGCGACTGTAATGTAAAGGGGAGCTGACCCAGCTTTATACTGAAGATAGAGGGATTGATAGATAGATGGATAGCCAAAGAGGAAGAAGACATATAATAAAAATAATGTGTAGGTGGAAAAAATATTTTCCCTTTAGAAATCAGTATTTCATATTTGAACTCTCACTCCAATATTCCAAAACATCTCTGATTTAATCAACATGAGTATTTCATCCCAGAGTAAAGGTCACAATGTATTCATTCCTAAACATCCTGGATGACTCTCATATATATCACTCCTCCCTACACACAAAATCATAACTCAATAGAAGGTTTATTTTAAATGAACAATGCTCCATAAAATTGTTTAGAGACTAAAAGCACATGCTTTGCAGTATGTGGTTTACTTTCTTTTAAGATATGAGTAATATCCTAGCCCTTCCCCGTTCTGAAGCTTTATATTCATTTTCAAACAAAACCCTCAAATGCCATGTGATAATTTGAAGATGGTGCTGTTGGATCAGCCTGATTTCAAGTGGGTAGTCCAGTTCTCTTTACAAGAACAGTCATATCTAGACTTCAAGGAGTACGTATGAAACAAAGACAAACATGCTTAGAAAACCAGCCTCCCGAATCCTTGTCCAAAAGGAGGAGATTCATTTATAGATAGCTATCTCTACATCTTTACATAGTAATTTAACCTTCTCCTGGATCACATTTACTTATCTTTTTTTTTTACTTCTTTCACTCAATAATTATTCTTATTTCTCTTTAGTCCCAAATAAATTGTCCAATAGATTTATCAAATTTGAATAATACCAAGAAACTTCTTTTTCAATTTTCCCCAGTACTGATTTTGTTTTCATAGCTCTTAGCTAATATATTTCCTAAAACAGTGCTCAATGAAATGTGAAACATGACAAAATGTGTGTATATGTATATATGAATCATTTAATGTGGATAAATCCCCCTCTAATCTAAGAATTCCATATTAAATAATATTTCCAGCTGATCAAACTTCTTTCACAGCTATTTGTTAGCTTATTTCCTAAAATGATTTTTCATACAGGGAGGAACTTTAAAAAATAAGTATACACGTATGTAATTTAATGCAAATAACTTGTCATCTAAGCACATCACAATAAATCACATTCAAGTAAGTCACACTTCTATTCTAGCTCTTTGTTAGATTATTTCCTAAAACAGTGCTCAATGCGATGAGGAACACAAGAAAAAATATATGCATATAAATCATTTCATGCAAATAAATTCCCACCTAAAACTTCCATAATAAATCCCATTTCCAATTAACTATAAAGCTGAAGATACAGTTTCCAGTGAGAGCAAAGCAGGATGGCTTGCTCTCTGAATCTGTATATTTATTTTGACAACTTATATATCTAGTAGGATAACTATGATTCTCCACATGATAAATTAGTGAAATATTCCTTATGTGGTACAAACTCTGCAAGGTTAGATGCTGGCTTCCAGGGAATAAGTATAAAATACACAAGGGACTCAAAATCTTTACTAGGACTGAGGCCTGAGTTACACTTGTAGATGAGAGTAGATGGTTACTTGACCTTATTAGAATCACTTGAGTTTCCCAGATAAGAGCAGTGTGCTGATTGTGTAATAATATTCTAGTTGGGACCAGTAGTACTTTGAGGAAGAGAATATTGTGAAGAGTTCAAGGACTATATTGTCATTATTAGCTAAGAAAAGTCATTCAATAAAAGAGCTTGGTCCCATGATGAACAAATGTGATCAAATGGTTAGTCAGAAAGAGGAGTTATATTCCAAGAAAGGAGCTCATTGTGAGATCAGTGTCTAAAATGTGGTCAATCTCAAATAAGGTAAAGATAGGTAAGAAAAGCCTGATAAGATTTCCTTGAAATGGAGCAACTAGATAGAGCAGTGGATAGAGCTACCAGCCTTGGAGTCAGGTGGACCTGAGTTTAAATCTGGCCTCAGACCCTTCCCAGCTGTGTGACCCTGGTTGTGTCACTTAACCCTGATTGCCTTCAAAAGAAATTTTAAAATTCCCTAAAACAAGAACAAACAAAATATGTTAGAATCCTCCATCAACCTATTTTCCCCCAAGCTACTCCTCTTACTAACAGTTTTCCTCATTTTGAGAAAAATAGAAAGGTAATTTATGTCCACAAATGAGTCAGATAATGATTGTGTGGCAGTTTTACAACTTCAAAACTAGGAATGAAAACACACTTTTTCCAGAACAAAAGAATCTTCTGTGCTAGTCTCCCAACATAGCCTATATACACTGGAGGCTTAAATGGTGTCATCAGAGTTCACTATGAGCAGCAAATTCTTAATAACACTCAAGCTGTCAAAATCTCTGTGGTTGCCATTTATAATTTTATACTGTGAAAAAAAAAATCCAGATCAGTGAAAGCATTAAGATGAATCAGTATTTGCTTTGGTGATGACATGGTGCCTGAGAGTGATTTCTCTCTTCAGGGGGAGAAGGAGACAGAAGGCACAAGGCCGAGTGGCTGAATGTCACTGATCTGGCAAATGTGAACAAATATACTATGTATATTCTATGTACTTCTTGGATTCCATGGCAGCTGCTAGTGTGTTTGTAATTAGAAATCTATAGAGAATATAGATGTTTTAGACAGATGGTGCCAATTCTCAAAGATTTGTGTGGGCTATAAGTGCTTGTAATTAATATTATTATTTTGGGGCTAATAACTTATAATGGATTTGGTTTTAAACATTGTGTGGCTGTATGTTCTTTTTATGTTGTTGCTGCTTATATACTATTAAGACAATAGAGAATGTACAGTTCTTTTGATGTGAATTGCAAATGAGTTTTTTCATAAAATTTAACATTTTTATCAGCTCTGTTTTGCTTCATACTTGTATAAATGTACTTTATTTTAGCATTTTAAGGATACATTTGCTTGTTTCTCAGTTGTCTACATCATGTTATAATTGGTGTTTGTGTAGTCGGGTACTTTTTCAACAGTATTAAAAAAAATCTGTGATTGACTGTTTTATTTTTTTTCCACAAATGATTTAAAACATGGCTTAACGTTGTTTTCTAAGGGCCAAAAGGACCATAATATTCATTAACGTTTGGATTAATTTCCCATCCAGTTATTTCAAAATGAAGTATATTTATTGATTGGTTTTGTAAATCTTTTTTACATTACCCATGGATACCTACGCCATATGAGAATGAACTAAACTAAAATGGAAGAGTGTGGCAGTTTCTCCTCCCCGAGGTATGCACATATGTGAAGCTGAACTGGGGATTTTTGGTACCATACTTAAATATGGCAGTGTTTTGTAATTAAGTCAATGTGGGCTTTCCCTCCACTGATGAAGTTTGCAGGCCCTTTGTGACTTAGAAGATGCTGTTATTTCTGCATTCATCATCTTTCTGCTGAACTGATTATCATCTTCAAACTTAGCTAAACTGTGTCTTGGATGACATAAAATCACCCTGCCCTGTCCTTAGAAATATATCATTTCAGAATGGTTAAGATCTGCCAGAAAATAGCTTCTTTTTCATACCATATTATGCAAGATTCTTGGTTTGTAATCAAGTCCAAGGAATATGAAAAGAAAGAATTTCTGGGAAAATATTCCAATTCAGTCCCTGACACACAAATGTTGGGTTCAAAGGAAGGGTGCTAGAAATGGCTTCAGATAGCTGCACAGAATCATAGAATTTCAGCTGGCAGGGACCTTCAGAAACCAAATGTTTCCAACAAAACTAGAAAACAATTCCTTTTCCAACACATCTATCCAATGGGCATCTACCCTGTGAGCAAACGCCTTCCATGGGAAGGAAACCATCGCCTCCTGAGGCAGCTCCTTTTCCTTTTGGGAAGCACCACTTGTCAAGGGTCCTTTTTTGTTCCTTACGCAAATCCTCAATCTTCAAGCTTTTTGCTTCCACCCTTTGTTCATAGCTTTCTTTTCTAAGGACAAGAAGGACAAATCTCATCCCTCTTATACCTCACGGCCCTTCCATGAAAATGTGATATTCTTACAAGGACGAACCACGTTTTTGGCCTTTCTTTGTATTACCAGCACTTAGCACAGTGACTGGCATGAAAAAAAATTTAATAAATGTTTATTGATTGATAATACATGAAAACAGCTGTCATACTCTCTAAGTCATTTTTTTGCCCAGGCTACAAATTCCAGAGATTTTAAACCAATCTTTGTTTAAAATACTTTCACCACCCTGGTTACCCTCCTCTGGTTGTGCTCCAGTCTTTCTATGACTTTCTTAAAATGTGGTTCCCAGATTGAGCATAATGCTTCCCACATGGCGTGGCAAGGGCAAAGACAACTAGAACAATGTATTAGACACTCAGTGTTGCTTGGTGACACGTCACATGATCGACTCATATGAGATTTCGATTTATTAAAACCACCAGATATATTCACAGTAACTCTTGCCTAGTAATACCTTTCCTGATCTGGAGTAAGCATTTGATTTTTTAACTCTAGAAAACTTTTCATTATTTCCCATTCACTTTCATATATTCCATCCAACTCAATGTTCTATCCTGAGATTTTTTTTTTAATCTTGACTCTGTCACCCAGGGTGTTAGTTAAGCTTTCCAGATTTGTGCTGTCTACAAATTTGACAAACTATGACTTCTATGTTTTCACCCATACAACTGATTAAAATGTTAAACAGCAATGAACTAGTTCCAGACCGCTGGCGAACTCTACACATGTGGATGTCTACCATTCTAGAAAAATGTACTTTCCATGTTAGGCTTTCTTTGGCATGATATTTAAGTGATTTTTTTCTTTTAACTCCCCTACAATGGAAAGAAAAAACAAGACTACTGACTAGTAGTCCTAGATTCTAGTTTCACTTCTGACATTAATAAGTGATGTCACTCTGGGCAAGTAACTTGCATGATCTAGACTTCAGTTTTTTATTTTTTTCATTTTATTTCATTTCAAATTAGGTCCCCGAGCCAAATGTTTATGAAGCCCCCTTGCCTCTCTAAAATGCTATGATTCTATAGTTATCAATAAAATTATGAATATTTATAGTAATGTAATGTCAAGGTATATCTGACCATTCAAAACAAAGCACTAAATATTTGTTGAAGTACTCATGAAATATGATGACTGAGAAATTTGGTTTGATGATGAGAAAATCTAGGTCCATTTTGAACAATATTTTCTTTATATTGCATGGAAGGATAAATTATTTCTCCCATGATGTAATATTGTTCTGCGAACATGGTCAAGTCTTAGTGAATGCTTATTAAATTTATTTTCAGATGCTCTTAAATGGTCCTTCACACTTCAGTAGTGCCCCTCTAGCTATTTGAAGTTATTTATTAATATTTATTACCAAATGAATAGGCTCGCTACATGTGGTCTATAATGTGTATAGGCACATAGAATTAATAATTCAATGCTCAACATTAAGCAAAATGGTTTTGTAATGTTTAAACTTCAGCAGAAATCCAAATACCATAAAAGACCTACACAAATTTATATGTAACTTTTTCCTAGGAGATGCTGATTGTCTTGGTAAATTAAACCATGTAAACATGTGGAAGAGTAATTTTCTTTTATTTCATGTAATATTGAAAATCAAAGATTAGCCAGTTCTTCAGGTTAATGATGAACATTAAATAAAATCATACATAAGAAATGCATAAGATATGTGCAAACACTGCTATGTGAAATCAGAGGTGAAAAGGTCATTACCAAGTGGGAAGATCAGAGATTACTGCCTAGAGGAGTTTGAATTCAAGTTGGAAGTAAGGAATATGAAATAATTTAACAGGTGCACAAATGAGAAGAGTCTGTTACTGGCATAGAAAAATGCAGAATGTGCTACCATCTGAACATTTCTCTACAATTAACTCTTAATTTCTAGACACTCATTGGTGTTCAACCCTATTGTTTTCAAGCTGTTGAGGTCTCTAAGAGATTCTTGAAATAAACTGCAATGAAGATTATTTTTTGGTCTCAAAATTGACAGAACTGAGTCCAGGTTCAAATCATAATTTTTATATAGACAAGCTACACTTTAAAAAAAAAACAGGATCTGTTTAAAGTTATGTTGCACTAAAGGCTAATCCTAATCCACCCCCTAACCTGATGAAGGAAGTATGTCAAGAGAAGAAGGAAATAGTGAAATATCATGCAATCTTAAATATGTTTGTGGGAAACACTCTCAAGTTGATATCTTCAGGCAGAGTAGGTAAGTTAGTAATGTGTGCATTCAACCATCGCAATGAACAGCTTTGTAATATGAAACACTTTTGCAGAATATTTCAGATAACTTGAGCAATATTGCTAACAAGAAAGTTATAATAGCTATGTTAGATGTACATAAAGACTTTTAAATGCATTTGGGAAAAGATTATTTCACTAAAGTTGTTTCAGCCCTTGCTTATAATAACGGGTCACAGCTCAGGCCAGAAATATTGACCTCGTTTAGGTTATGTCGCCAATTTTCAAAGCTAACCTTTCATCCCTCAGCTTGCTTACTATGCCATAAGCAGACTTATGTCCAAGACTTTCTTCAATTAATGAGAATTATCCACTCAAGAAACCTAGAGTTAGATCTCTCATAATTAGGAATTCGCAGTCACTTTCTTCAGTTGTTTATTGCAAACTCCTTCTCTCGGTTATTTTTCTTGGATGTCTGTCTCTGTCTCACACTCCCTCCATACTATAGATAAAATATGACCTGTTTAGTCACCCAGCAAATTCGTCTGTTTCCAGGCATACTCTGCAGGCTCAGAGTCCCACAATTCATAGCATTAAGCATATGCTCACTGTATTTTTTTACTTGAATTGTGTATTTATGATATTGCAGAAACAGGATATCTCAGGTAAAGATATCCAACCCAATAATTCATTTCATGTGCCTCATCAAGAAGCAGAGAAAGCATGTGGATTATGCATTCATTTATACATATACATTCAAAAACCATATACTAATGTTTATTATTTGCAAGGCACTGTCTTGGGATATGAAAGAAAAGCAAAGATGAATAAGCAGTGTCTTCTCTCAAGGAGTTTGACATCTGTTTATAGAAAAGGAAGATGCTGCTGTAATATATTTATAATATAATGTAAAACATTATGAAACTAACTTACACTTAGTAAATGTTTAACAACTAATGCAGAATACTAGACTACCACTGAAAATTAGTGACGGAAGAAAAGGAGGAAGGGAAAAATCATTCATTCACATTGCAGTCTGGGAAGAAATTCTGATGGCAAGAAAAAATGTTTTCTTCCAACTAAAACTACAATCAGTAAAAGGTTTTATTCTATACATTTGTTGGGAGTCTAGGCAAGGAGACAGACAGGTAAGATACAAAAATGTGCATGTCTTCGGGTGAAGTGGTCTCAAATGAGCTATTTCCCACAGGTACTTATACCTAAAACACATTGTCATTCTGGTTCACAACTGATCAGTTATTGGCTGTGGGAGCAGTTTATTGGGTTCAGAGAAGGAGAATCAGAGATCTTCTATGTGCTCATCTATCATTGGCTGCTCCAGAGTGAGGAGGGATTATATTCCAGGCATAGGGATATCATGTGTAAAGACCATATCATATGGCCAGCTAGCAGGTGAACCTGGAAGAGGGAGTGCATGAAGAAGAGACTGAGGCTCAGCAAATTTAAACAATGTTCCCAGAGCTACATAGCTAGTAAATGTCTGAGGCAGGATTTGAATTCAAATTTTCTTTAATTGTTCAGCATTCTATTATGGCACCAGCACTATCTCTTTAGGAAAGTGGGAATCAGATTGTAGAAGTCTAAGCTGAGAACTTTGTATTTTCTGCTAGAGGCCATAAGGGTTACTAAAAAGATTTTTACTAGGAAAATGATATCATCAGATCAATGTTTTAGGAATATAAATTTGGCAGCTATGTGAAGAAGGTTGGAATGGAAAAGGGGAAGACCAGAAGCAGGAAGACCAATTAGGAAGTTATTACAATAATCTTGAGGGGAAATTAGGAGAACCTGAACTGGGGTAG